ATATATATATATATATATATATATATACATATATGTGTATTTGTTGTTGTTGTTTGGTTTGGGAGTCACACCTGGCATTGCTTGGAGGTTATTCCTTGCTTGGCACTCAGGAATCACTCCTGGCAATGCTCAAGCAACTATATTGGGGTGCTGGAGATTGAACCTGGATCAGTAGCTTGCAAGGCAAATGCCCTACCTGCTGTACTATCTCTCTGGCCTAAAGAAAAACATATTAAAGCCACCATTGTACCTATGAACACTAAAATGTAAACACTGACAATGCCACTTGAGTGTAGAACCTCTGGACCCATTCACCATCACTAGTGGCCCAGCAATTTTGGAGGATAGTTCAGAGTTTTCATAAAGTATAACATACACTTACTGTATACAGGGCTGGAGCAATAGCACAGCGGGTAAGGCGGTCGCCTTACAAGCGGCCAACATGGCCGACCCGAGTTCGATTCCTCCGCCCCTCTCGGAGAGCCCGGCAAGCTACCGAGAGTATTCGATATGCCAGACACAGTAACAACAAAGTCTCCAATGGAGACGTTACTGGGCCCGCTCGAGCAAATCGACGATCAACGGGAGGGCCTTTACCTTTACCTTTACCTTTACTGTATATATTAATTTATTAAGACCATTAGAACAGATTAGGTCGTAAGAAGCTAATACTGCTTTTATTGGTCTGGGAACCAGACCACCTCTCCAGTTAGACAGGCTTCCTTCATCTCTAAGCAGGGCAAGCCCTTACTACATCTTTGGTAGGATAGGTTTTTAACAATGATTATTTATGTCTATTGTATGATTAAATGTCTATTGGTGACTTTACATCAATAGACATTTATTTTCTCACAGTTCTGAGTGGGGCCAGGGATTCAAAATCGGGGGGTCAGAGCTGTAATACAGTGTGTAGGGAGTTTGCCTTGCACACAGCTGACCGGGGTTTGATTCTCCAGTACCCCATATGGTCCCCTGAGCACTGACAGGAGTAATTCCTGAGTATAGGGCCAGGAGTAATTCCTCAGCACTGCTGGGTTTGGCTCAAAAACAAACAAAAAGTTGAAAAGTAAAGCTCTAGGAGCCGAGATTATAGGAGGCAAGTGCTTGCCCTGTTCATTGCTAGTCCTGGACTAACCCTGGGCCTCACATAAGATCCACTGTTTCTGCCAACTGCCAGCATCCCTTTGTCCATAGCAGCACCATTCCAGTCTCCGCCTGACCCACAAGCAGTCTTGTGTCTGACTCACTTACAAGAGCACTTGTGACAGCAGTTAGGGCTCACTTGAATAGTTCATTAAGCAACTTAATCACAACTACCCATGCACACACAACAACTTTCATAAATTTCAGAAATACCTTTGGAAGCTACCAGAGGGTTCACTGTACCATACAAATCAACAATCTCACTCGTAGACATTTTCCTATAGATGATCCAGAGTCACAGCTCAGAGTCCGTGCTTTGCATGTAGGGGGCCCAAGTCCCAGCACCAGCACTGCCTGGGCTCTGTGCATGGCCAAAAGAACCCTCGGGGAGTGCTGGAGCAATATTACAGCAGGTGGGTGTTTGTTTTGCATGTGGCTGACCCAAGTTCTATCCCCAGTATCCCATATAGTTCAAGCACTGGCAGGAGTAATTCCTGAGTGCAGAGCCAGGAGTAACCCCTGAGCACTGCCTGGAAAAAAAAATGAGGATCCTCAAGCCCAGTACTGAAAGTATCTCAACACTGGTGTAGCAAAAAAAGGAAAAAAAAAGAAAAAAGTGAAAGTATGTCTGCACAAAAGCCACAGACACAAGGAACAAGGACAGGGATGTGGCTCTGTGGTCGAGCACTGGCGAGTGCTTGGGGAGACCTTGGATATGCTGCACAGCGCCACTAACCAAACCAAAATCCTCATAGACACAGATCCAGAAGCAACTCCAATAATTGATAGAAGCCACATAGCCATAAATTATGTGATACAGTATATGCAGTATACAACAGATCACATAGTAGATTCATGCAGCCATAAAATGAGATGAACCATCAAGACACAACTTGAATGGATTTGAACGAAAGTGTGACAAAAGTCCATATCTCAAAAGATTGCACCCTATATAATTCTATTTACGGAAAGGTGCCTATAAGGAATTCCTAGGGAGAATTTTCCCGTAGTAATAGATAGTTTTTGACCCTGATTATGAATGTTTATATAAATCTCTTTGAATAACAAACATGCATAGTACTCCATAATCCCAGAAAAGTGCACATAAGGAAGGGGCTGGAGCGTAGTACAGTAGGTTAGACACTTGCCTTACACACAGCTGGCCTGGGTTTGATCCCCCATTTCCCATGTGGTCGCCTGAGCTCCACTGGGAGAGACCTGAGGGCAGAGCCAGGAGTCACTCCTGAGCACCACTGTGTGTGGTCCAAAAACAAAGAAAAAAAAAGCACATGAAAGTTTCTAAAATTGGCATTTGCCTTGCATGTCGCTAACCCAGGTTCTATTCCTGGTACCACCTACAGTTCTCAAAGACCTGCTAGGAGTGATCCCTGAGCACAGAGTCAGGAATAAGCCTTAAGTACTGCTGGGTGTGGCCCAAGCCAACAACAACAACAACACCAACAACAACAAAAACACTTCTGAAATTGAATAAATCTGTGAATTAGTCAATGGGATTGTCCCATTGTCTCAGAGTCAGTCTTCTAATTTGGATGTTGGTCTACGGTTTTGCAAATGTTATCACTGCCTCATCACTAGATGGAGCACATACTGGAACTCTAGACTATTTTTTAAATTCTTGTGTCTTGAATTATTTTAAAACAAAACATTCAAAGCAAAACACACAACAAAAAAGGGGGGAAATTTCTTGATTCCAAAGTCTAAATGCAGGGTAAGTGCTAGGAATGATTTGAATATAAGTTCCCAGTGTCCTCAGGCTTGTTCCGGCTCTTCTAAGTCTCCCAGTTTCCAAAGCACCATTCTTCCAGGGGCTTAAAGCACAGCTAGATAGAGAAGACATAAAAGGTCACTCCAGACAGCAGAAACAAACACACATAAAATTTCAGAGATTTGAAGAAATGGACCCTTGGAGAGCACGATGAAGCATGTGACGAGTTATAAAGTTCTGGAAGGAAAAGCAGTTCATAACATAGCTGAAGAGGAGGATTCCAGGTCAATACACGCGGAACCCTAAATGCCATATCAGAGATCATGTGTAATGGGAAGCTATTCAAAAAAGAACACTATGGGGCTGGAGCAATAGCACAGCGGGTAGGGCGCCTTGCACGCGGCCGACCTGAGTTCGATTCCCAGCATCCCATATGGTCCCCTGAGCGCCGCCAGGAGTAATTCCTGAGTGCAGAGCCAGGAATAACCCCTGTGAATTGTTGGGTGTGACCCAAAAAGAAAAAAAAACACTATGTGAGCTTATCAGCCAAGGAGAGAAAGATCTCCAAGCTTCTGCAGGAGCAGAGATAGACTGGCTAGGTCCCAGTGGGGATGGGGAGCGTCTAGGCAGAATAAGTCTGACCCAGGGCAATGACCTTAAGTGTGGAGAGCAGGGCAGACAGTAGATTCGGTGAAGTGAGTGCGAGTAGAATCAGCAGGACTTGATGAATTGTTTTTCTCTGTGAAGTGCCTGGGAGAGAGGGCATGAGAGTTCATTCACATTTTTGGCTAGAACATTGATACCATTTTTATCCGAAAGGGCAGAACTGCTAAATTGTTTCAGATGTTCCTGGTAAACCAAGGGAGAGAAGGATTTAGAAGTGAGCATGGGATTTAGTGACAGAAAGTCTGAATGCCTGATGGGAGTAAAGGCTCGAGCGGGCCCAGTAACGTCTCCATTGGAGACTTTGTTGTTACTGTGTCTGGCATATCCAATACTCTCGGTAGCTTGCCGGGCTCTCCGAGAGGGGCGGAGGAATCGAACTCGGGTCGGCCATGTTGGCTGCGTGCAAGGCAAACGCCCTACCCGCTGTGCTATCGTAAATTGCAGCAGATGAGGGGAGTGGGGAGGAGCAGTGCCCATGAGCTTTCACTCAGGCTCAGATAGAGCAGGAGCAAAGACAAAGCAGTAGACTAAGAAAAGCATGGGAAAGAAAGCATAGTGGACAGGAAAAGGCGTGGAATCTATCCTCACTTGTTCTGCTCTTGGGGCCACATCTGCAGTTCTTGGGGTTTATTCCTTGGCTCTGTGCTCTGGGAGTGCTCCCAGTAGTGCTCGGGGGACCTGAGGGTTGAACCTAGGCCTCTCACACCAATGCAGATCCTCAACCTGTTGAGTATCTCTAGGTGGATACCATGAGTTTTGGGGTTTTTTTTGTTTATTTGTTTGATTTTTGTTTTGGGGCCACACCTGACAGAGCTCAGAGGTTACTCCTGGCTCTGCACTCAGGAATTACTCCTGGCTGTGCCATCCATATGGGATGCTGAGGATTAAACCCTAGTCAGTCACGTGCAAGGCAAACGCCCTACCTGTTGTACTATTCTGCTGTACTATTCCCCTAGGATACCAGGAGTTTTTAATAGTACCTGCCTCCTAGGCTTATGACCAATATCAAGTTTTCTCTCTTATTTATTGTCTTCAACTAAACTTCTGGGCTGGAGCGATAGCACAGCGGGTAGGGCGTCTGCCTTGCACGCAGCCAACATGGCCAACCTGAGTTCGATTCCTCCGCCCCTCTCGGAGAGCCCGGCAAGCTACCGAGAGTATCTCGCCCGCACGGCAGAGCCTGGCAAGCTACCCGTGAGGTATTCGATATGCCAAACACAGTAACAACAAGTCTCATGATGGAGACGTTACTGGGCCCGCTCGATGAACTAAACTTCTATTTTGTGAAACATGGGTGCTCCTTGCCCACGTTTTGCCTCTCATTAGTAAATATTGGTAAAGAAGCAATCCCTTTAAGACCGAGCCCCGCCCTGCCACGGTTAGCACTCGGAGCCCATCAGGGTGTCTGATCCTGGTGGGAGGAATGACAGAGCCGTGCTCCATGTTCCCTCTTGCTGTTTTGCAGGCCCTGAGGAGACAGCCCCCGACCGCCAGGCTGGGAATATGGGCAGTTTGGGGGAGATGCCAGGAGTGAGACCTCTGGGGCAGACCCACCCCTTCCCGAAGCCTCGACTGGACTGCCAAGAGGAGCTGGCGGTGACCCCCAAGCCCTGCTTCATGGCCACAGTGACCACCAGCAGTATTCCAGGCAGCCCTGAGGAGACGCCTGGCCCTGATCCTCACGCAGCAGCCCCATAAACGGCCAATAAATGTCTCTGCACCAACCTCTTCTAGAGTCTCTGGTTGTGAAAGGCACACACAAATCAGCAGAATGGCTGGGGCTGAGGGTGGCTTTTCCCAGCAGCCCCATCCCCAGGTTCTGCTGGGGACCCTGCCCCCTGCCTCAGTAGCCTCTCCCTACAGCAGGGGCGGGTAGAGACTGTCTTGGCATGGGGTGCAGTTTTCACGGTACCAAGGAAGGCCACTGGGACCCCTGTCCCTGCAGCAGTTCTGCACCCCCCCCCCCCGCCCACTCAAAGGAACTGTGGCCAGGACACACAGTGAGAAGAGAGAGCCAGACAGCTCCTGTGTGCCCTGGGAGAGGCAGCTGGTGAAAACCATGTAAATGAGGGACCATGCTGGAGATTAGGGGACCGACCAAAAGGATTCAGGGGGCACAGGACGGGAACTAGATTAAGATGCCGGTTAATCGGCTCGTCCTTCACGCCCAACTGAGGCCATGAGTTGCCCCTCACATGAGCAGCTCTCCGGCACAGCCATGGCACCAGGGGCACATGGACCTAATCCAGAGCCCAGCAGCTTGCAGCAGAAATGTGAATGGACTATGTGTTAAACTCCAGCGCCATGCCCGCCCCGGAAGGGAATGGGTGTCTGTCTCTTCCACCTTTCCCCCCTCCCCCCACAACATAGTGGCCACCTCAGAGTTTATTGGAAAGCCAGGTATGAGCCGGCGGTGATGGGGCAACTGCAGCCTCATGGGAAGGGGGACGGAACCGGCTCGTCCTTCATGCCCAATTGAGGCCATGAGTTGTGCCCCATGAGCGGCTCTCCAGCATGGCCATGGCACCAATCGCACAGAAACCAATCTTGTAATTATCCTACTCTCAGCAGAAATCCCTCAAGACTTAATAAAATATCAGAAATCCAAACTCGTGCAGCCGCTATTGCAGCCATGCAGCATCATATGGTTTTCATAACCAGCAATAGAAAAAAAAAGATGCTGGTTGGTGAAAGGGTGAGAAGCGGTGTCGCAGCGTATCAGAGCCCAGCCAAACTGAGTATTTTTATTCATTTTTAGAGGTGGGGAAGAGCAAATGAACGAGTGAAGGGAAGGACCCAACTGCCCCTGCAACAGGCACTCAGCAAAGTCCCTCGGTCTCCTGGAGCCTCAGTTCCCATGCTGGCCTATGACAAATGTTGTATGAAATGATGAATTAACCACTCTTCATAAACAATAGTACTGCAATGACTTTTTGAAAATCACGATTGTATTTCCATGTAACACAGGGATTAAGAGCTGGGACTCTGGCGTCAAATGCCCGTTTCAGATCCTGTCACTGACTGCCCTTTCTGGCGCAGTGCCCTTGTGCCTCTCACTTGCAAATTTGGGAGAGAATCCAGGCAGCTACCTCACCCGCTCTGGGGAGAACTAAACAAACGGGTTTGCACCAAGTACTCAGAACAGGGTAGGCAAATGGCCAGCACTCTGGGTTCACTGTGACTATATTAATTTCATTAAAAAAAAAACTGATTCTGGGGGCTGGAGGGATAAAGCGCAGTGGGTAGGGTGTTTGCCTTGCATGCGGCCGCCGACCCAGGTTCGATTCCCAGCATCCCATATGGTCCCCCGAGCACCGCCAAGGGTAATTCCTGAGTGCAGAGCCAGGAGTAACCCTTGTGCATCGCCAGGTGTGACCCAAAAAGCATAATAAAAAAACCTGATTCTGGTAACAAAGCATCTCTTTAAAATATATTCCCCTTCCCATTTTTTTTTCTTTTTGGGTTATATGGGATGGGGGACCATATGGGATGCTGGGAACAGAACCCAGGTCGGCCACGTGCAAGGCAAGCGCCCTACATGCTGTGCTATCACTCCAGCCCCCACCCCTTCCCATTTTTATTTGCCTTGCACGCAGCTGGCCAGGCTGAGCTGGGATCAATTCCTCCACCCCTCTGAGATCCCGGCAAGCTACTGAGAGTATCCCGCCAGCACGGCAAAGCCTGGCAAGCTACCCATGACGTATTCGATATGCCAAACACAGTAACAATGAGCCTCACAATGGAGACATTACTGGGTCCGCTCAAGCAAATCCATGAACGGTGGGAGCACTGTGCTACCGTGCTACCCATTTTTACTGTTGCTATTGTGACACTGGGGATGGCATATTCCTGTGGTCCTGGGAAGTCAAAAAGCAGAGCCAGCGACCTGGAGATTGTGTTCTGGCTTGTGGGGGGCAGTGCCAAGGACTGAGCCCAGGGCCTTACACTTGCAAGGCTGGTGCTTATACCGATGAAATACAGGGTAGTATGTTAAGTAGGGTGGTGCAGCTCACCCCGGCCTCCTCCCGGCTATTTGCTGACATCGGCCTGAGGCTTTGCCTTGCAAGAGTGAAGATCAGAGGCTGATCGGGGACTCTGAAAGCAGTTCTCGACATTTCTGACAGTGACCTGGCGTGCTAGCAGATGGGAAATAGTAAATTGGCCACTTAGATATCGCGTATGGGGCCAGAGCTGGCCAGAGGCAAAGGAGGGGGTGGCCAGGCAGCCCACCCGATGGAGTGCCCTGGGCGGCTGCAGTGAGGAGACTCAGTTCTGGACTGGTTGATCCCACAAAGGGGCCAAAGGGGCCCCAGATACATCTGGAGGGAGTGCTAAGTGATGTCTGAGCTGAATCATCCAAGATGAATCAGTCTCCAGGTGAGACGAGGTCAGATGAAATTATGGTCCGAGAACAACCTGTTCACGAGCAGAGAGCAGCGCGCAGGGCAGAGGGGGTGGCGGGGACTGACTGTGCCATGGGGGAGTCTGAGTGGGAGAGAGGTTTAGTCACTCCGGGTGACCTTTCCCAGAACAGATTCTGTCTCTCCTTAGTGCCCATCAAGAAAAGGCCTTTTGCTTTGAACATGTGTGCGTGTGTGTGCGCACACGCGTGTGCATGTGTGTGTGCGTGTATGTGTGTTCGTGTGCACACGTGTGTGTGTGTGTGTGTGTGTGTGTGTGTGTGTGTGCTGGGCCTTTGAGACAGCTACCGGGAAGAATGTGTCCAAGCCCTGACTCAGGATCCCAGAGGAGAGACGATCTTGACTACGCTTAAAGAAATCTGTGGCCAATAGTAGAGATTGTCAAACTTCAGAAGCATCGGAATGGGGTTGGGGGGGGGGGTACTGGGCCTGAATTAGGGCCCCTCCTCCCCCTGGTGTGCCTGAGTCTGTGAGCCTGGAGTCAGTGCCCAGAACTAGACTCTAACCTGTGCCAGATGATGCTGGGGCCAGGTCTGGGACCAACCCTTCCAGCCAGGGAACTACAAAGAGGGCTGAGAGGTGGGAATTAGGAGGAGCCCCTCACACTTGGTTCTCTCCACCAAGGCCTGGAGCGAAGGAGGGTGTGTCTGCTCCCACAGACCCTCCCATCCCAGGCCCAGAGACAGCTTCTCTCTGCGGATTCTGTCTAAGCTCAGGGCTGGCTGTCCTGAGTCTGGGACTGCAAGCAGACTGCTCCCCCCCACCCCACATCCCGTGCGGCCACGTGAACCCCCTCCCCCAAGGCAGCGAGGAGGAAGGAAGCCTGGGTTGACGCACAGACAGAAATAGTCTGAGCTCGCCGCTGCTCCCAAGCTCACATCGACCGGCAATTATTTCCTGTAAATTGCTTTCCCGGTTATGTTCGGAACATGTGTGCGTGCCTGCCGGAGAACAAACACTAGCAGGGGGCACGGGTGGAGGCCTGCCAGCACTGGGCTCCAGGGGGCCCAGAGTCAGGGTCTGGGGCTTCAGCCAACAGGGAGGGCCCTGTAGGTCGAAGCTTTGGACCCAGGTCCGGCAAAATCTACCAGTCACCTCTGAGAGCACTCCTGTGAGAGGGCTTATCTGACCTCAGATGTTTGCCTTTGTTGGTTCCTTGCTCATTCACTGGTCTCATTCTCTGCCAGGATTGGACTCTGAGGAGTTCCAGCATCCGGTGAGTGGACGGAGGAGATGGTATCTGCACTGTGCCTGAGCCCAGCCAAGGGCTTCAGGGAAGACTTCTCAGAAGAAGCGTCTGAACTGAGTCTTTCACCTATGGTCAGGTGAAAGGCACTTGTGGTAGAAAATGGGTCACAGTATTCAAGGCAGAGTAGACAGGCTACACATAGAGCAAAGAGAGAGTACAGGGTAATTTTGAGGAATTATAAGGAAATCCCTTGCGGTGGATGGTGAAGATGGAGGGCCGGAGTGACAGCACAGTGGGTAAGGCTGTGGTGGATCTGGGTTTGATCCCGGCATCCCGTATGGTCCCCCGAGCTCACTGGGAGTTATCCTTGAGCATAGAGCCAGGAGTAAGCCCTGAGTACTATCAGGTATGTAAAAAAAAATGTTTTTAAATAATGGAGAACGGTGAGAGAGGAAGCTGGAGGGGTATACAGGTCAAGTCCAAAATCCTTTGCCATATTAAGGTGACTTGGTTTTTATTTTACTTTTTCACATTTTTGGTGGGGGGAGAACCACATCTGGCCGTGCTCAGGGCTTACTCCTGGCTCTGCGCTCATGGATTATTCCTGGCAGTATACTTTGGGGACCTTCTGGGGTGAGAGGAATTGAATCCGGGTTAGTTGAATGCAAAGCAAACACTCTGCCCTCTGTATAATATCTCCAGCCCTGGGACTTGGCTTCTAAAATATCTAATTTTTTTTAAAAGAAACTTACTTAGGCACCAAGATTTATAACTGTGTCAATATGAGTGCTTCCGGGATACTCTGTATGCCACACCTGCCCAGGGTATCAGGTTCCCCCTCCCCCAGTCTTCATCCTAAGGAATGGGGGGCCCAGGGATAGGTTTTGAGCCTGGACAAGAACGGGCACCTTATCTGAGCGTTTCCTCCCACCTTCTCCTGACATTGAAGAAAATCTGCACACCACAGTACTCTGCACTGAGACCTTCTGTCCCCTGAGATGCTGAAAGCCCAGTGGCTGAGGGGCAGCGCCAAGCCAGTGCCCAAAGGGAAGGCTGGACACTCTCCTTTTGCGGCGTCAATATGGAAC